AAAGAAAGAAAGAAAGAAAGAAAGAAAGAAAGAAAGAAAGAAAGAAAAAAGAAAAAATCAGTGTCTGGAGAGATGGCTCAGCAGTTAACAGCACTCGGTGCTCTTGCAGAGGACCCAGATTCAAATCCCAGCACGTACACTGTGTCATCTCACAATCATCTGAAACTCCAATTCCAGGGGAGTTGACATCCTCTTCTTCACTCCACAGACACCAGGCATGCATATGGTGAACATACATGCACACAAAATATTCATACATAAAAGTAAGTCTAAAATATTTTCTTTAGCAAAGTACATTTGAGGGACTGGAGAAATGGTTTCACAGTTGACAGTGCTCTTGCAGAGGGACTGACCAAGTTCAGTTCCAAGCACACATGTCAGGTGGCTCACAAGCACCTGTAACTTCAGTTCCAAAGGTTCCTACACCCTCTTTGGCCTCTGCAGGCACCTGCACTCATTTGCACAAGCAGAAACATAATTTTTTAAAAGCAAAATTCGTACTTTTCAAGTTCATTAGATAATGTTTAAAGTGCCAACCTATCAAAGAGACACAACCTTACATGCTTATGCACTAATATCAGAGTTACAAAACATACAAAATAAAACTGATGATAGAAATTTCACCACCCAGCCCTCAACATTTGACAGAACATAATCTCTCTCCCCTTCTCCTTCTGTGCTGGTTACTTTTGGTCAACTTGACACAACAAGAAAAACCTGGGAAAGGGGAACCCTCAAATGAGAAAATGAATTCATCAGATTGGACTGTGGGCATGTCTGCGGGGCTTTTTTTAAATTGATGATTGATGGGGGGGGGGTGTTTCCAGCCCAATATGAGTGGTGCCACCCCAGACAGGTAGTCTAGGTTTTTTAAGGAAGCAAGCTGAGCAAACCCTAGAGAGTAAGTTAGTAAGCACTTTATCCCATGGCTACTGGCTCTGCTCCTGCTTGAGTGACTACCATGACTTCCTTTACTGATGAACTGAGATTAAAACTTGTAAGCCAAACAAACCTTCTGTATCAGTAAGGGTCCTCTATAGGAAAAGATCTGAACCAAGAGTAGCCATCACATCTCAGTTCCTTTTGGTGATGGTGGTTATCACAGTAATAGAAAGCAAACTAGGACATCATCTTCCTTCCCTCCCCTAACCTCACTTCCCCTTTCTCTTCCCAAACAAGCTGGGGAGCACTAGTACTATTTAAGCAAACATCACCTTTCAATGGAAATGATACATGGCTCCTCTAAGGGTCAATTATCCCTGACTGACTTATATGTTAAATTTTAATCTATTAAACTTACTACATGTACTGTGCTAGATAGAACATCTGTAATAAAAGAACGAAGAAAATCTTTAAATTTTAAACGGGGGTGGTAATCGTATTTGCCTATTGGAAACTTTTTTTTTTTTTTCAAAAGAAAGTGTAAGCAGAAGCATAAAAAAAAACACAAAAATGCTGTGGACAAAAGAAAAGTGAGAAGTGTGTAGATGGAGGCAAAAAGCTCTAAGGACGGTTCTCTTCAGAACACAATTTAGGCAACACAGATGGCTTAGTGGTAGAACACTTGAATAAAGCAAAAAAGTACTTAAGACACAAGACTTCTACCACTGTCTGAGAAACACAACAGTCTTTTTTTATGTATCTGTGGTTTGCCTGTATGTATGTCTGTGTAAGGGTGTCAGATACCCTGGAATCTGGGGAGTTACAGAGAGCTGTGAGTTGCCATGTGGATGTTGGGGAACTGAACTCAGGTCCTCTGGAAAGAGCAGCCAGTGCTCCTAACCATTGGTGAGCCATTTCTCTAGCCCCAACAGTGACAATCTTAAAAGCAAACCTACTCATAAGTAGCCATTGGATGTCTTAGGCTTCATATGGGCCCACTAGTTAGGGGAGATATCTCTGACATGGACTATGTTGTCTGCTTTTTCATCACTTCCCCTGATGGGACTTCCTTACAAGGCCACAGGGGAGGAAGATGAACTCAGTCCACATGTGAATAGATATGAGCTGGGGAGAGGGGATGCGGGAGAGAGGGTGAGACTGGAAGGAGAGGAAGGAGCAGCCTATGACTGAGATGTAGATTACATTAATTAATAAAAATGAAAAAAGCAACACACAGCTAAATTTACTATGACAGAATAGTTATGTCCTCTATCCATTGGTGATATACCCCAGACAGAAACTACTAAATTCAGTGCGCACGTGTGTGTGTGTGTGTGTGTGTGTGTGTGTGTGTGTGTGTGTGTGTGTTCTAGGGCACTTCAGGATTGCACACAGTACCAGAGTTAATCTGTCTTCCCTTGTTTTATGCATAATTCAATTCTTATCTTTTCTTTCTTTTTTTTCAGGACTAGGTGAGGACTGAACTCAGTTCCAACATCACCCAATTTTTATGCTTTAGGTTAGGGCACCATTATTAAGAAAAAAAGATTAGGGCCTGGAGAGATGGCTCAGCAGTTAAGAGCATGAGCAGCTCTTGCAGAAGACCCTGAACAGCTCAAAACCAGTTCCAGGGGATCTTATGCCCTGTTCTGCAAACATCTCATGCACGTGGTACATACACATACATGTAGACAAAAACACCCATACACATAAAAATAGTAAGTATAAAAAGAAAAGGGGCTGGGTGTGATAGAATGAACCTTTAATCTCAGACATTGGGAGGCAGAGGCAAATGGTTCTCTATGAGCTTGAGGTCAGCCTTGTTTATAGAGCATGTTCCAGATGAGCCAAGGCTACATAATGAGACTCTGTCTATGAATGAATGAATGAATGAATGAATGAATGAATAAAAGGAAATAAATAGATAGATGGATAGATAGATAAATAAATAAATAAATCTAGACCACACCCTTCTAAGACACATATTCCCCCACCGTGGGTGTCTAAAGACTTAGTCTAAAAGTCAAATGTACAAGAGTAGTAAGGTTGGTCTTAATTACATGTTTAAAACTATCTAAAAGTCCTTAATTATTTGGAGTGTCCTTTTGTTTTGTAACTAGATCTATAACATATAAATGATTATTGAAACATTTTACAAACAAATGTATGTGTGTTTATATATGGATGTGTTTATATATGGATATGGTTAGCAAGCTATTTATATAAGTTTCAAATGAATTCTGCCGACCAGTTCATATATTTATTCATCTACCCTTAAATTCATAATAACGTTTGCTTACCAGACAGGAAGGCAATGTCTTTCATTAAGAAATGATTGTTGTCCTTTAACTGGAGGAACAGGCCAGTTCCTATGACAAACAAGAAAAGAAACAACAGCGATGTTAAAGTGTAGTTAGAATCATACAGAAATCCTAACTCTGCCCAAAAGAACTCTGGGGCCCTTAACAGATTTATATATATAAATAGACACACCAGCCATCATCTCCTCTTTCTACCCTTGGCTACAGGGAAATGTGTCTATGCTCTTTATGACATCACTGGGTGTCATAGAACCAATGACTCGCATTTCAAAATCTATGTCTAGAACAGAAAATAGTCAGTCACCAGAAAACTAAGAACAAGGTACAAACAGCCGTGGTTTCTTTAATGTGTAGTCAGACACACACTGTCTTCCACTTCTCATTGTGTGACTTTGATTTCAAAGAACTTTATCAGCAATTACAAAGCATACTTAGAGTTCCTATAAAAAAATTTGGATTCTTAAAGTATCCCATGCTAGGTATTATCCTTAAGTTAATAAGATTTATTGTACAGTGGTTCATCACATGTTTCTGAATTAGAAACACATGGATTCAAATAAGTTTACTGCACTTCATAGGCTATACAAACTTGGACATGACAAACTTCAGTGAGATAGACTCACTGAAGCTAAGTTTCCTCATCGGTAACCTGGGCATCATAATACCTACCTAGCAAAGTGTTGTTGAAATGTAAAACAGCTCGCATATAGTAAATACCTAATAAACAGTGCTGTTTTAAGTCACTGTCCCTGAATTATTTCATGTTTTCAGTTGCCCTAGATCCTAAATGATAGCTTGCAATGTTCAAATCTACCCAACACTACAGGGACCAAAACTAAAAGTCTATTATCTACCTCTAGTCCATGAACAAGGATAACTTTTTAAAAGAAAATAGGTCATTGAGCTAGGATATTTTGGACTGCTGTTTTAATGCCTGTGGTTTCACATCTCTTATTGAAGTGATATTTTTCACTTGCTATCTGATACAAAGAACTTTTAAAGTCCTCATATTTTATGGTGTCAGGCTGATGGCACACCCTTCCCAGTGCTCCTGAAATTGTCTCATATAGAAGTGCTTTATCAATAACAAGCCTCCTCAAAAATATTAAGACGAAGCTGCAGAATATCATACCTTATCAAGTGACATGCTCAATTGGAAACATAGAGTAGTTAACTGGTATTTTCATAAATACAAGTCATTAAAAATACATGACTTGGGAGCCCACAAAATGGCCTAATGGTGAGCCTGACATCCTGAGTTTGGTCCCTGAGACCCAGATGGTAGAAAGAGAAAACTGACTCCTCTAAGTCTTCTGACCTCCACACAGGCACAGTGCATAAAGTAAATGTATAAACATGTAATAACCTTTATCCAGAACATAAAAATTAATCTTTAAAATTGTCTTGTAATTAATATATATGTACATACACATACACATATATTTACATACGTTTAGATTCTTTGCATGTCCCAAGCCAAAGTGTATACATTAGCATATTTGAAAATAATTTCTTAAATAAACCCACACACCTATGAATACTCGGTATTTGACAAAGAAGCCAAATCCATTCAATGGAAAAAAGACAGTATATTCAACAAATGGTGCTGGTCCAACTGGATGTCTACATGCAGAAAAATGAAAATAGATCCATATTTATCACCCTGCTAAAGTAAAAGTGGATCAAGGACCTCAACATAAAGTAAAAGTGGATCAAGGACCTCAACATAAAACCAGATACTCTAAATCAGTTGGAAAAAAAAGTGGGGAACAGCCTAGAACTAATTGGCACAGTAGACAACTTCCTGAACAGAACATCAACAGCACAGGCTCTAAGAGCAACAATCAATAAATGGGACCTCATGAAACTGAAAAGCTTCTGTAAAGCAAAAGACACAGTCATCAAAACAAAATGACTGCCTACAGATTGGGAAAGAATCTTCACCAACCCTTTATCTGACAGAAGGCTAATATCCAGTATATATAAAGAACTAAAGAAGCAGAAAAGCAACAAACCAAGTAATCCCATTAAAAAATGGGGAATGGAGCTAAACAGAGAATTCTCGAAAGAAGAACATCAAATGGCAGAGAAACACTTAAAGAAATGCTCAACCTCATTAGCCATTAGGGAAATGCAAATCAAAACAACCCTGAGATATCACCTTACACCCATCAGAATGGCCAAGATGAAAAACTCAAGTGACAACACATGCTGGAGAGGTTGTGGAGAAAAAGGAACCCTCCTCCATTGCTGGTGGGAATGTAAACTGGTACAACCACTTTGGAAGTCAATCTGGCGCTTTCTCAGACAATTAGGAGTAGTGCTATCTCAAGACCCAGGTATACTACTCCTAGGTATATACCCAAAATTTGCTCAAGTACACAACAAGGACATTTGTTCAACCATGTTTGTAGCAGCTTTATTTGTAATAGCCAGAACTTGGAAAAAACCCAGATGTCCATCAACAGAGGAATGGATACAGAAATTGTGGTATTTTTACACAATGGAATACTACTCAGCAATCAAAAGGGAGGAAATCATGAAATTTGCTGGCAAATGGTGGGATCTGGAAAAGATCATTCTGAGTGAAGTATCCCAGAAGGAGAAAGACAAACTTAGTATATACTCACTTATATAGACCTACAAGATATGATAAACATAATGAAATCTACACACCTAAAGAAGATAATCAAGTAAGTGGACATGGGTGAAGATGATCAATCTTCATTTAGAAAGACAAATGGGATGTGCATTGAATGTATGATAGGAGTCTACCGCAAAAGGCATCTGAAAGACTCTACCTAGCAGTGTTTCAAAGCAGACACTAAGACTCATAACCAAACCCTCGGCAGAGTGCAGGGAATCTTATGAAAGAAGGGGAGTTAGTATGATATGGAAAGGATAGGAGCTCTACAAGTACCAAATATATCCAGGCACAGGGCCTTTTCTGAGACTGACACTCAACCAAGGACCATCTATAGATATAACCTAGAACTTCCGCTCGGATGTGGCCCATGGTAGCTCAGTAACCAAGTAGTTTTCCAAAGTAAGGGGAACAAGGACTATTTCTAACAGGATCTCAAGGGCAGGCTCTTTGACCTCCCCCCCCCCCAGGGGAGGAGCAATCCTGTTAGGCCACAGAGGACTTTGCAGCCAGCCTTGAAGATACCTGATAAAACAGGGTCAAATGAAAGGGGAGGAGGTCCTCCCCTATCAGTGGACTTGGAAAGGGGCAGGAAGGAGACCAGGGAGGGAGTTGGGGAGGGGGAGGGAATGAGGGAGCGGGATACAGCCGGGACACAGAGTTAACAAATTGTAACTAAAAATAAAAAAAAAGAATGCTGATTCAGAGTTTAATATATAGATTTAAAATATACATATACATGTGTATTCTGTGTCTACAAGTTAAACATGTTTTAGAGATGAATATGTAATAAATCAACAATAAATATTGTCAATGTAAAAAAAAAGAAAATAATTTCTTCATCACACAGTGCCTCAAATCTAAAATAATGCTTATAACAGTTATAAATGTGTCACACATTGACATTTTTAGACATGGAGATATGGTAGAAGGATCACAGAATAAGAGACTGGATTTTTCTCTGTCCTCACATACTTCCAAAACTAGTAATGGCCTAGCATTTGAATAAAAGAACATTGGAAACAGGTGTGGTAGCACAGGACTATAATCCTAGCACTTGGGAGGTAGAGACAGGTGGGTCTCTGAGTTCAAAGCCAGCCTGGTCTTCATAGTGAGTTCTAGGACAGCTAATGTTGAATAGGGAGACCCTGTCTTAAAACAAACAGCATCAGAAGATAGAGGCATTCCTCTACAGATTTCCTCCTGTGATACAAATGTGAAAATGAGTATGATTCATATTTCTCTTGCAAACTCCTTAAACTCTTAAATTTCAAAGTATAAGAAGTAAAAAGGTTGGAGATGCAGTTTCATTAGTAGCTTGAAGCCCTGGGATTCATCCCAGCAACAGATAATGTATGTATGTATCTTGTCATACATTTGTCATTGCACCTAGAAATTACTCAGGAGGATGCAGGAGTATAGAAAACACTTGAGATCATACTTGAGTACATCAAATTTGAGGCCGCCCCTGGTCGCATTAAGACCTACGCTCTCAACCCTCTCCCCAATTTTTTAAATCAAACTCACATTACAGCTTTTCAGGAAGCTGACCAAGCTGCTCTATAACAGATAAATAAAAGGTATGCATTCCCCTTACTTGATATATACAGCAAACCCTAAAAGGGCTAGTTGAGAGCTGGAGAAATGGCTCAGTGGTTAAGAGCATGTAGCATTCTGGCAAATGACTTCAGTTTAGTTCCCATCTCCCAAGTGCCTGTAACTCCATCTCCAAGGGAACTAAAGCCTCTAAGGCCTTATGAGCATACACATACCCACATACAGATACATATGATGAAAAATAGTAAATCTGCTGAAAAATCTGATATGTATCAAATCAAACAATCAAACAAAAGCTGAAAACCAAAGAAGAGAAAATCTCCTGCACTTCATTCACTTATGATAAGCATCAAGCTGTTAGGTTGTTTGTTTTTTTGTATGTGTGTGTGTGTGTATGTGTGTGTGTGTGCATGACTATTTTGCCTGCTTGTATGTATGTGCACTATGTGAATATAGTACATGCAGAAGCCCGAAAAGGGCAACAGATCCCCTATAACCAGACTTATAGCTGCTTATGAACTACCATATGAGTACTAGGAACTGAAATGAACCTAGTCCTCTATAAGAGCAGTAAGGGTTCTTAACCACTGTGCCATTTTTCCAGCTCCTATTTTCTTCATCATAAATTTACAAATAATCATTATTTCTTTTATCTCAAATAAGGAAATAAGTTTAAGAGTTCAAAAATTTAAGTGCTTTAATGTATCACTTGCAGAAATTCAGAATGTGTATCACCTAGTTATACCATAGTTGTTAAATGTCATAAAGATGTACTTTATAATCATTCTAATTTAAGACAGGGT